ATGAATTTTCCTCTCAGGACTGCTTTNGGTCCATTAGATCTTTTTCTTGTTTCTTGAGATAGGCCTGTAATGCTATGAATTTTTCTCTCAGGACTGCTTTTGCTGTGTCCCATAGATTTTGGATTGTTGTCTGGTCATTTTTGTTACTTTCCATGAAGTGTTTGATTTCTTCCTTGATATCCTTGGTAACCCATTCATTGTTCAATAACATGCTATTTAGCCTCCATGTGTGAATATTTTTGAGTTTTTTTTGTAGTGGTTGATTTCTAGTTTCATGGCATTATGTTCTGAGAAGATGCTTGATATGATTTCAGTCTTCTTATATTTGTAGAGACTTGCCTTGTTCCCTAACATGTGGTCTATTTTTGAGAATGTTTCATATGCACTTGAGAAGGATGTGTATTCTGCTGCTTTGGGGTGAAATGTTCTGTAAATGTCAACTAAATCTATTAGGTCTAGTGAGTCATTTAAGGTCTGTGTTTCCCTGTTGATTTTTTTGTCTTGATGATCTGTCCAGTGCTAACAGTGGGTGTTAAAGTCCCCCACTATGATTGTGTTGCTGTCAATCTCCCCTTTAAAGTCCCCCAAGAAATTTTTTATATATTTAGGTGCTCCTATATTGGCTGTATAAATGTTTATAAGGGTTATTTCCTCCTGTTGGATTGATCCCTTTAGTATTATGTAGTGACCATCTTTGTCTGTTGTTATGATCTTTATTTTGAAGTCTATTTTGTCAGAAATAAAAATTGGTACTCCAGCATTCTTTTCCTTTCCATTTGCATGGAATATTTTATTCCATCCCTTCAGTTTTAGCCTGTGTGAGTCTTGCTCTCAGGTGGATCTCTTGTAGATAGCATATATTTGGGTCCTGTTTTCTTATCCATTCTGCTACTCTATGTTCTTGCTTGGACCATTTATTCCATTTACATTTAAGGTTACTATTGATATAAACTTATTTACTGCCATTTTTCCTCTTTATGCTGATGTACCTTTCTCTGTCTATTCCTTCTTTTTTTTTTTTTTTAGAGCAGTCTTTTTAGCATTCCTACAATGCTGGTTTGGTGGTACTGAACTCCTTTCGCCTTTTTTTGTCTGGGAAATTCTTTATTTCACCTTCAATTTTAAATGATAGCCTTGCTGGATAAAGCAATCTTGGTTGCATGTTCTTGCTTTTCATTACTTGGAGAACTTCATGCCACACCCTTCTGGCCTGAAGAGTTTCTGTTGAGAAATCAGCTGTTAGCCTTATGGGCGTTCCCTTATAGTTCACTGTTTGCCTCTCTCTTGCAGCCCTTAATATTTTCTCTTTGTCCTTGACATTTGCCATTTTAATTATGATGTGTCTTGGAGTGGGTCTTTTTGGGTCCCTGTTGTTTGGAACCCTCTGTGCTTCCTGAACTTGTGTGGCTTCCTCCCTCGCGAGCATAGGGAAGTTTTTTGTCATTATTTCCTCCACCAAATTCTCTATCCCTTGCTCCCTTTCCTCCCCCTCTGGCATTCCCATAATGCGAATGTTGTTTCTCTTCATGTTGTCCCAAAGCTCCTTTAGACTGTCCTCATGCTTTTTAAGTGTTTTTTCTTTTTGCTGCTCTGATTGATTTTTTTCTACCTTGTCTTCTAAATCACTTATTCTATCCTCTGCTTCATTGAGCCTGCTTTTAATTCCTTCCAGTGTATTCTTGATATCAGAGACAGCGTTCTTTATTTTCGTCTGATTTTTGTTTATGTTATGTATCTCTTTTTTCATGTTTTCCCTAAAGTCCTCAATCTTATCCTCTACTGTCTTGTTTTTCTCATTAAGTTCCTTGAGCCTCCTCACAATCAATACTCTGAACTCTGTTTCTGATAGCTTCCTTACCTCCATCTCATCATTGACTTTTTCTGGCTATATTTCCTTTTCTTTAATTTGGGGGTTGTTTCTTAGTCTCCCCATTTTGGTAGGTCTTAGTGTATCTTTATATTAGATATATTTGCTGTCTCCCAGTCTTGTTGGGTGGGATTTTGTCTTGTGAGTCCAGTATGTTTTCCTCATACTTCTGAGCTCTTTGCTCCAGGCATGTCCTTTTTGTGTGTGTCCCTTTTGTGGTTTCTTTATGTTCTCCTCTTGTGGTTGGGTTTAGATTGTCTTTTACCAGTCCTTGGGAGGACTCTCCTCTCAGGTTGGCTGTGTGCTTCAGCCCTAACCTCATCATATAAGCTGTTGTATGGGTGCTGGCAAGTCAGGACAATACACAGCTAAACTTCCAGGAAGCAAGGGGTATCTTTCAAAATATCTTGACAGTCACAATGAAAACAACCCATGTGAAAATAGAACTGGGAGAGTGAAGGAAGCACACACACTTACAAACAACTTTAAAAAAAGAAAGAAAAGTAACACTTAGAGAGAAGTATATTGTTGTTAATACTGGTGAAAATTTAGAAAAAAATAATAATAAACTAAAATGTAAAAAATAGAGAAGCTACTGGGAGATAATAGAGGCAGAGAAAAGATTTTAAGAGAAGGGTCAGGAAAAAAGGGAGAGAATAGGAATAGGATAATAGCTGAAAATTAGAAAATAAAAATACTATAAAGAGAAGAGAATCTAACAATCGCGCAAAAAGATGGAAAGACAGAATGGAGGATAATGAAGGAAAGAAAAGAGGAAGAAGAAAAAAAAGTTATGTCAATGGATCCAGAGGAGAGAGAGAGATAAAGCCCAGGAAGGAGGGAGTCTGATAAGAGATTTGGGGAAACTATAGAGGAAAGCAGTAAGCTTGGTTATAATGATAAAGTCGCAGTCATTAAGCAGAGATATGAAGAAAGTCTTGATAGTAGAAACAAGAATAAAACAAAAGAAAGCAAATAAAGTAAACAAAACAGAGAAACAAAAGTAAAAACAAGCTAAGCAAAACAAATTCCTTTATAAAAATAGGAAAAAAAAATTAGTTAAAAAAATGTTTTTAAAAAATTGTTTAATTATTATAAAATTTAAAAAGAAGGAAAAACAAATAATTTTTTGTCCTTTCTCTTTTTCCTACGGGAAAAAGGGAAAAAGAGAAAAAACAAACAAACAAGCAAACACACAAAAAAATTTTTAAAAACCTAAAAACAAAAACAAAACAAAACAAACAAAAAACCAGAGGGAAAAGAAGAGTCAATTGGGTGAGTGTCTTCTGGGCAGCTTATGTCATCTGCAGCTCACTGTTTTGTGTGCTGATTTCAGTTCTCCTGGGAGGTACTTGTGTATCAGCCAATGTGAGGTGCTGTCTAGGTTTGGCTCTGGTGTCCTTAGGTAGATGGCTGATCTGAGGCTCTCCGTGGACCACCTCTTCTTGTCAGCTATTTTGCAACTTGGTAGTTGCCTGGTCTTGCTCCAGAGTCTTCTGTAGAGTCTTTAGGGTGCAGGATGGCTAGTTTAGCCCAGGGTATCACTCCCCGTACTTAGAGTTTTCAGTGTCAGGCACTCACTGTGCAGGAGTTAGTCTCTGTTCCACAGCCAGCTCCTCAGGCCCTACCTTGTCCTCTGATTCTAGTTCCCCATGCACTGGTCTGCTGTAGCTTCAGACTGATTTCAGCCTATGTCCTTTTCTGTATGGGCCGTTTCAGCAGCCTGGGCTCAGTGGGTACAATTAAAAAAACATTCCCGTGAGTCCTTTGTCTGCCCAGCCCCCAGCAGGGGTTTTCAGCTTTTCCTTCAGTTCCCAAACAACAGTCCCTGAGAGTCTTATGCTTGTAATGTCCTCCTGTGAGCTGTTCTCCCTTCCCCCTCAGGACTGTGCCCTGCAGGGCATATCTGGGGCCTCAGTGAGCTGGACCCACCCCTTTCCTATTGGGGGTGGTGCTCCCAGGCTATAGGAGAGGCAGGCCGGCTCTGCCCCTCCCTTCCCAGCTCTGGTTGGCTGGTCACATCAGGCCTGTCTCTCAAACAGTCTACTGTGCACACCCCAGTCCCACCCTCTGCTGGTCTATCTGCCCAGTGCATGCAGGGAAGGTGGGAGCCAATTCTGTGACCAGAACTCAAAAACACACAAAGCAACACACAGGCAGAGAGTCTGCCCTGCAAGGTCCTGCCATCTGTGCACCAAGGCACCCAGCAGGAGGGGACCCAAAGACAGCTCCATGCAGCTTTCACACCGCTGATCTCTGCAAAGCTAGGGGTGGCTCCACAGGCCACCACAGCAACCCTCAGGGCTGGTCACAGATCCCAGCCTCTCGGCACTGGGAGCTCAGAGCAGAAGGGCTCCTCTCCTTCCCTGGGCCACATGGATTCAATGCTTTCTGGGGCTCAACACAATGCCTTACAGGGAGGCAGAAGGTCCTCGTGTGTGGCTGCTCAGTCCCAACCTCTGGTCCCTTACTACTTGGGTGCCACACGCTTTGGAACAGCCTTTCCTATGGTCAGCGCCCTGAGCATTAGACGCTGGTTGTGTCTGCCATTAGCTCTGTTTCTTAGGAAGGTGCCCTCCCCTCCTCACATTCTCACCGCTTTCCTGGGTCCCTCTGCCCTCTATGCAGGGCTCTCCTTCCCCTCCCCTCCAGGTGTGAGATCCCTCCCTGCTTTCGGAGGTCAATCCACACTCCCAAGGGGAGGGAGTTTTGCACCCTCAAAGCCTCAGGGCTCAGAGCGCAGCACAGGCTTCAGGGGGTCTCCCCCTTTCTATACCTCCCCCTCTCTTACTGGACCTTATGGTGTTTCTTCAGTGCTCCCCACTCGCACTCTGTCCACTCAGGTATGTTTCTCTGGTTTTTCCAAGCAGGCTACATAGTATTTTAGGAGTAAATAAAGTCTGTGGCTGGGAGCGGGGGCGCTTTGCTGCATCTCACAGTGCCACCATCTTCCCTCTCCTCATTATTTTAAGTATAGGAAAATTGGCTAGAACTGCAGCATAGGCAGGCTTGTCCATGGAACCACTTGGTAAGATTGTTTATTTTTTGCATATATGTCTACTTATCACCTTGAACTGTAATAGGGAAATGCCTAGATTGGTGCCTGTACAAAGTAAGTAGAACAAGTGTAAGCAAAGCTTTACAGAAGAATTTTAATGTAAATACATAGAAAAGCACTTTCTACAGAACCACATCAACTTTTAATGTTCTTGCACTCACAATGCATTCCATCTTGTCCTCTGCAATCAGGTGTATTTTTTCCCATCTCTTGTCTTTGGAAGCTATTTTCTTGCTTTTTCTGTAAATGATAAGCCATTTTCTTCTCTAAAAGGGGTTGTTTCTAAAAATTAAAGAAAATATATTTGTTAACATCAATTTGCTTTTATAAATGCAAAACAAATATTTATAATATGACAGTATATTGGAAATGAATAATTATTCCTGTCTTGTGACTTGTAAGGTTACTCTGAATACAAATTTGGGAGAGTAGTAAGTAAGGAGTAAATTTCCATTTGTGGGCAAACATGATGAATATACATACTTACTCTGTATATTCAGGGAACTAGTCTAGTTTCAGATCAGAAAGGGTCTCTTAACCCACAGTTGTCCTGGGAAGCTGAGGGAATGTGTAAATCATTTTCAGCAGGAGGATTTCTGACTGACTAAATCACACTCGCTCAGGCCTACTACCACAGGTAAACATAATATAATACATGAAATGTGACTTCCCTCTGTGAATCTCTGGACTAATAGTGATCCTGGATGCACCAGAAAGGATATAATTGCACAGAGCAAGAACCCCAGAACTCTTCAGAGGGTCCCCTAGTGTACTCAGCAAGAGAATGGATCATACATGCATGTGAAAAAAACTACCCAAGGCCACGGAAAGGACCATCCAAGAGGATTAGGGAGAATAGCGCTCCTCACCTACCTATCATGTCTACTCTGGAAAAATTTTATTCACGTTGCATTGGGTAGAATATTAAATGGGTCTTGCCTCAGTACTTGGAATCACTAGCCCCAGATTGAACATGGTTCTGGCTCCATCTAACAGGTTTTAAGAAGAAAGACCTATAACAATCAATCGTTTCTAAATAAATTACCTACATCCAAGGGAAAAGCTAAAGACATTTATAAGAACATAAAAATACTCAGCACCCAAAAAGTAAAATTCATGGTATCTGGCACCCAATCCAAGGCTACTAAGCATATCAAGAAGCAGGGAAATATGACCCATAAAATGAGTAAATCAGTCAAAATTGACCAGAAATGACACAAATGTTAGAATTAAAGATCATTAACAAAAAATATAATTGCATTCCACATATTCACAAGGCAAAGAAGAGACATGAAAGATATAAAAAGAACCAAAATAAAAATTTTAAATGTGTGAGATAGTAATACAATGGATACATTAACGGCATAGTAGACAATTCAAAAGAAGAGATTAATTAATGTCTGTTGAGGAACAGAAACTATCCAAGAGAAAAATACAAAAAGAGTAAATAATTACAAAATGAAAAGAGTATCAGGGAGATGGGGGACAGCATCAAGCGGCCTAATATGTCTGTAGAAAGGAGGGACAAAAGACATATTTTATAATAATGTTTATTATCACTGCTTCTATTCTACATTATACTGGAGGTACTAGTCCACGCTATTAGGCAAGAAAATAAACACAAAAGAGAAAAGAATGTGAAGAGAAGAAATAAAACTTCCTTTATTTACAGACAATATGATCACCTGTGTAGAATGTCAATTGGCATTTGGGAAAAAAAACTACTAGAGCTAATAAATGATTTTTAATAATGCAGAATACAAGATGAATATAAAATTGCTTTTCTATATACTAATATCTAATTTGAAAAAAAGTACAAATTATAATAGTAAAAATTACAAAATACCTAGGAATGGATGCATCAAAATACCTAGGGATGTGTAAGACTTATATACTACAAACTCATAACATCGATAAGAAAAGTTAAGGATACCTAAATAAATGGAGAGACATATTTGGTTCATGAGTTGGAAAGCTCAGTATTATCAAGAGATCGATTGATCCCAAACTGATCTATTGAGTCAACACAATTCCAACCAAAATCTCAGCAAGATTTCTTGGTAGAAATTGACAAACTGATTCTAAAATTTACATGAATATGTCAATGGACTTAGATTAGCCAAAACAACTTTTAAAATGAAGAACAAACTTGAAAGGCTAGTACTACTTATTTAAAAAATTATTAAAAATACAATAATCAAGACAGAAAATTAGAAAATAAGTCAAAGAGCAAAAAAGAGTTGAAAAATAGACTGCTACAACTTATTTTTCACAAAGATGCAAAAACAAAAATCTCTTAAAGATTTTTGTAACTCTAATTTAAGCCCATAATTTTGAGTAAAAAATACATACAATGTCACATCTGAAAGAAAAGATATAAAAATATTGATAAACACACAAAAATGAATTGAAAGCTTCTTGTAGTAAAACATGATGTAAAAAAGACAATTTAGAACAACTCCACTGGAAATATCAATACTTCAAATAGCTCTGCCATTAAGACACCTTAAGCATCCTGTGGTGTTACCATGCCTACCATCAGCAGTCATGTCTAATGGGCACTCCCAGTGCCAGAATTTATCCATTGAACTAGTTGCCACTAAAATGGGCTAGGACTCATTGAAGAGAAATTGGCATCAGGCATAAATTAAAGGAAAACCTGGGCCATTCTGTTGCTCTCCAAAAACAAAGATATTTTCAGAGATGTCTGGAAGCAAAAAAAAAAAAAGGCCAACTTAGAACTCCCACTAGCAAAAAAGTTGTAAAAAACTGAATACTAGAAAATAATAATTACAACAAATTAGAATGAGCTGACCTTGCCATGTGAGCAGTGAGTTCCTGATAATACTAAAAGGTACATGTGACCAAAGTATAATTAAAAGATTATCATACATATTTGAATTTCCATTATTAAAATATTATATGTTATTTAAAATTAAAAGCATTTACTCTAAAATTAACTGGTGGGTAAAAATTGAGAACTTTTTCCAAGAAATTCTGATTCTAAGAAAAATCAGTTATACCATTTTTTTCCATAGGAATTACAAGTATAGTTTATGGTGTGAGATAAAGTAAAAGTAGTTACATCAAATAATAGGGCAGTACATTTTACATTATAGTCTAAATATAATAATGGCAGAAATACAGTAAAAATTTCCCTAACTTTCAGTTTTGTATAACGCATATCTTTGGGGGAACTGATCCACTGTTGTATAGTGTACTTTCAAAAATCAAAACCAGCAAAACTTCTCCTCCAACAGCCGAAATCAGAGGTGAAAGTTAAATCTACCTTCTTGGCACTCTCTCCTCTGCTTCTATGCCGCTGTTCCTCTATCCTAGCTTCTCTTTTAGCTTCTTCTATGGTTTTTGTCAGAAGCAACATCTCTTTTGTCTTCCATTCCTAGAGAGCACAATGTTACTGTAATTAGTGTTTGCAAGAAGCCTTTACATTCTGTCCACCACCACCAAGCAGATTAGAGCAAGTCAGGAGCCTGACAGAAATCAGGTCCTGGGGAATGAAAGTCACCCTGGCTTTCGAATGGGCTTCTTTCCTTCCTGCACTCCTACTAGGAATGCAGGCCTGGTTATTTTTGGCATGGTTATTTTTTACTAAAGCTAAATTTTAAAAAGTCTCCTCCTCACACTGAGGGCTGTAGGGGAGTTAAATGGTGTCTAGTAACTTTCACAATCATCTCTTTAAGAGCAGATACTGGCTCATACATATAGTTTGTGGTATCAGCCTCATTATTTTATGTAACAACTTGCATATTATAGCTCTGAAGAAAGAGTAATGTGGGTGAATTATTTAGACTGGAAATGACACAAGAAGTATGACAGAGCCCAGTCAGCATGGCTCAGCAGTTGAGCATCGGCCTATGATCCAGGAGATCAACGTTCAATTCCCAGTCAGGGCACATGCCCAGGTTTCAGGCTCGATCCCCAGTAGGGGGTGTGCAGAAGGCAGTCGATCAATGACTCTCTCTTCATTGATGTTTCTCTCTCTCTCTCTCTCCCCATCTCCCTTCCTCTCTCTGAAATCAATAAAGATATATTTTTAAATATATCTATATATTTTAAAAAGTATGATAGACAGCTAAAATTATTTATGAATAAAACTGCACACGATTTTTCTTTAAATATTTTAAGTGTATCTCTCACCTCTTCAATTTTTTTACGAAGACTAAGTTTCCTTCTTGTTTGTTCCCGCTGTCGTCTTTCTTCTCTGTCCATCCACAGTAGCCGCTCCTCTTCTGATGTGAGCTCACGTTGTTGTAATTTCCTGCTTATCATATCCAAGTATCTGAATAAAAGCGCGAATGCAAGTGAAAGTGAGTTGGCTGCTTCTCTTATAGTGGCATCAGCTGCTTTGATATGCCCAACCCCCTCCTTGCTCACTTTTTATTTCTTGAAAGCTACTGCTAGAGGTCTGTGCTAAAAGATTCTTTTCTTCCATTTCCAGGATTTTAGATCTGATTTGTTCTTTAGTTATCAGTTTGAAGAGGTGACTCTTGGACTCCCAGAAACCCTGTCATCTCTGGTGGAAATTGCTCTTCCTTCCCTCGGCATCAAAGTTCCCAGTTTCTGTACCTCTTGGTCTCCCTTCCTCTCTATACTGAGGGCAATAGTGGAGTTAAATAGTGTCGAATAAGTTTTAAAAATTCCTAACTCCAGTTCTTTCTAGTATTTTTCCAACTTATTTGAGTCCACAAACTATACATAAACTATGTATTAACTTCAATCTTACCTGGGCCTTATTAATCCCTCTTGGTTTTTATAAGATTGGGTGTCCTCTTGTAACAACCAATTTTGGAACTGTGCAACAGCAGAAATTCCAGGTATTTGATTGTTTTCTTGTAGTTTATTTATTTGTTTTGCAAGCATTTTCTATTTTTAAAAAAAGTATATATCATATATATGCATATATTTGTGTGTGTGTGTGTGTGTGTATATATATAAAGAGACACAGAGAGAGAATTTACAGAAATAAAAACGTCCTTTGATATGCTTTTTTATATTTAGTGTTTAGTAAAATTCCTGTACTTTCTAAATAACTAATTCTGTTTAACTGCATTTAAATCAATTTTGAATCAATTGCAGACATGGGTAACTGAACCCAAATAAAAATGTCTCTCTGTGAAAATGAAAGATAAATATCTCATCATACATTTCCATCCAGTCTGAAAAAATTAAATGAAAATATGGAAGAAAGGCAGGAGAAACGCTAGACACAGAGGGGGAAATGGTGGGAAATATAGAATACTAAAGTTATAGGTAAGTTATTCTCATTTTTATACCACTCTCTCAGCCTTAGAACATAAATCTGTAAAAGTACACACACCTACTTTTCTAACTTTTTATTCAACCCTCTTGACCCTAAAACCAGAATTCACTCATGGATGTGTGTGTGTATCACACACATGAAATTTCAGTCAAAAATTGAAAGGAGCCAGGCCAGTGTGGCTCAGTTGGTTGAGTATTGTTCCATGCACCAACAGGTTGCTGGTTCAATTCCCAGTCAAAGCATTCCCAGTCAGGGCACATGCTGGGGTTTCAGGCTCAATCTCCAGTGGGGAACATGCAGGAGGCAGCCAACTGATGTTGGGCTCTCTCATTAATGTTTCTCTCTTCTCTCTCCCTCTCTCTCAAATCAATAAAACTATTCTTCTAAAAATATATAAATAAATTGAGCCCAGATGGTGTGGCTCAGTGGTTGAGTATCAACCTATGATCCAGGAGAGCACAGTTCGATTTCCAGTCAGGGCACATGCCTGGGTTGCAGGCTCAATCCCTGGTTGGAGGAGTGCAGGAGGTAGCCAATCAATGAGTCTCTCTTATCATTCATGTTTCTATCTCTCTTTCTTCCTCTCCTTCCTCTCTCAGAAATCAATAAAGATATATTTTAAATAAATAAATTAAATAAATAAATAAATAGAAAGGAAGTCACAATTTATACCCTCTCTCTCTACACCAGCCTAATCATTCCACTTTACCCTTATAATTTTTTACTGGATGAACACAGCTGCATAAGCATGGGTATAAACACACAGTGTACATGTTCTTGAGTCACCTGTAGGACATTGTAACTATTCACACTGTTCCTCTCCTATTACTCAAGCTGGTTCTGGTTCCAGCTTAAGAATCTTGCTGCCATAATAGACCCTTCCTATTGGCTCCAACTTGAAGAGAAGGAACACATTGGAGTAGCAACTTAATTAATAAATTATGGTAACTACCACTGACATATTAATAGATGACCTAGTCCCTTTCCCTTTCTTGGCCCTATAAAGCAACCTCAATTATTATTTATTCCTGCTCTAAATTTTCACTTGGAAAAAATATTTAGTTAGTCTGTCAAAATTAAAGGTAAAAATATTACAAGAAAATACTCTTCATACAAGTAAACCTTTCTTCCAAACCCTATACAAGAAAACAAATTTAAGTATTTAACTTACTTGTTCTTTTAAGTAGTGCTTTTCAAAGTCCAATTTCAGAGTCGTAAGATATTGCCTGTACTTGTTAAACTCCAACAAGTTACATACAACCTAAAAGACAAAACAATAACAAAACTATAAATACAAACATTTAAAAATCATAGCAATCACTTTCAGGAGGAAACATAGTAATAATATACAATTTGATAATATTTTGGTATCAAGAGTAATAAATTGCTAACAATTTTGTAAGTAGTATCTCTCTACAATTGTTAAACAACAGAACATTTTTATCCAAGTCTCATTACTTTTTAAAATATGACTTATGGAAGATGGTGGCAGACTGAGTGGAAGCTACACTGACACTCCCCCAGGACCAATCTGGATTTGCAACTAAAACACAGAAAAACCATCCTGAAAACCAACTGAAGACTAGCTGGAGAGCACCCTCATAACCAAGGAGGAAAAGTGGAGACTGCACAGAGACTGGTAGGAAGTGTGGAGGTGCTAGAGGGCTGGCTGGGCTCCCATAGGGAGCAGCTGAAGGTCCAGAGGGATATCTCATCTGTGGGGGGTTCCCACTGAGAACTCTGGGGCCTAAACCCCAAGCTGGGCTTCCCATCCAACAGCACCAGAACTGAGAACGGTGCCCACGTAACATCTGTCTGGGAAAAGCAGCTAGGTTTGTGTCTGCCAGGGAGAGGCACCTGGACCTGCAGGCACCCTCTTAAAGAGCCAACGCACAATGTTTCATGTGCAGCCACTCACCTTGGGCTCCAGTGAAGGGGGAGTGGAGTAGACTGAAGCTGTATGGGGAGAGTCTTGGATTGTGGGCACTGCAGAGTGAGATCAGGGGATGACCGTCTGGATTTCTGTGCCAAGTCATTCCCCCAGACTGTGGGGGACATCTTTCTTGGGCAGCAAATTTTCGGCTTTTCCCTGAGGGGGGAAGCAAATGACCCACCCTGCTGGAAAGCCTCTCCTCCTGCCCAGAGGAGTTTCTACAGCCTGAGGCTTGTTAAGAGACTGATAACAACCAGCTGCCCCACCCTGTGGAGCTTCTACAGCCTGAGGCTCATTAAGAGAATCAGATTAATCAGTCCGCAGGCAGAGGCAGAACTCAGAGTACTTTGAGTCTTTGCCTGATCTGGTTTGGGACACTGGCCTTAGAAAAGCAGATTTGGGTGTGTATCTTGGTCCTGTCCAAATACACCCAGCCCCAGCAGTGAAGACCTCAAGCCTAGGGTTGTTGATAGCCCCAAAGAGGGTATTCAGGGCCAGTCACAAACTGCGTATGACATTAGCCTGTACCAGAGACCCTCCAAAAAGACTGATTCCTAGCAGATCTACCTAACACTTAAAAACAAACCCAAAAAAGTAGTCAAAATGGGGAGACCAAAAAACAAGCCCCAAATGAAAGAACAAGAGAAATCTCCAGAAAAAGAGCTAAATGAAAGTGACATAAGCAATCTATCAGATATAGAGTTCAGAATACTGATTGTAAGGATGCTCAACAGCACGAGAAAAGATATAGAAACTATGAAAAATGACCAGTCAGAAATAAAGAATGACACAGTAGAAATAAAGAATACACTGGAAGGAATAAACAGCAGTTTAGAGGAAGCTGAGGATTAGATCAGTGAATTAGAAGACAGATAAGAAAAAAATCACTCAATCGGAGACCCAAAAACAAAAAAAAAATTTAAAAACATGAGGACAGTCTAAGGCAGCTCTGGGACAGCATCAAATACAATATTTGTATTATAGTAGTGCCAGAAGAAGTCAAAAGTAACCAGGGGTTAGAGAACCTGTTTGATGAAATAATGGCAGAAAACTTCCCTAACCTGGTCAACGAAAAACTCACACAAGTTCAGGAGGAACGGAGAGTCCCAAGCAAGAAGAATTCAAAGAGGTCCATGCCCAGACACATCATAATTAAAATGTCAAGAATTCAAGACAAAGAGAGATTCTTAAAGGAAGCTGGAGAGAAGCAATCTGTTACCTACAAAGGAGCCCCCATAAGGCTATCATCTGACTTCTCATCAGAAACTCTAGAGGCCAGAAGGGAATGGCATGAAGTATTCAAGGTAATGCAAAACAAGGATCTGCATCTAAGACTGCTCTATCCCAGCAAGATTATCACTCAAGACAGACGGTGAAATAAAGAGTTTCCCAGATCAAAAAAAAAAAAGCTAAAAGACTTTATCACTACAAAACCAGCATTACAGGAAATGTTAAAGGGACTGCTATAATTAGAAGTAGAAATAAAGAGAATGAGAAACATAGGCATAAAGAAACAAAATGACAGTAGATAAATATCTTTCAATAATAACCTTAAATGTAAATGGATTAAATGCCACAGTGAAAAGATATGGGGTGGCTGAATGGATAAGAAAACATGACTCAAATATATGCTGCCTAAAAGAGACCCACCTCAGAAGAAAAGACTCATACAGGATGAGAGTGAAGGAATGGAAAAAATTTTCCATGCAAATTGAAATGAAAAAAAGCTGGGGTAGGAATACTCATATTGGACAAAATAGACTTCAAAAAGAAGACCATAATGAGCGAAAAGAAAGGTAATTAAAGGAATCAATCCAACAAAAGGATATAACCCTGATAAATATATATGCATCCAATATAGAAGCACCTAAATTTATAAAAAGTCCTCTATAGGACTTTAAGGGAGAGATCGACAGCAATACAGTCATACTAGGGGACTTTAACACCTCACTGACTTCACTGGATAAGTCTTCCAGACAAAAACTCAACAAGGAAACTGTGACCATAAATGACACACTAGATTAGATGGATTTAATTGATATTTACAGAACATCCTACCCTAAAGCTGCAGAATATACATTCTTCTCAAGTGCACACGGGACATTCTCAAAGACAGATCACATGTTAGGACACAAAACAAGTCTCTACAAGTTAAAGAAGACTGAAATCATATCAGGCATCTTCTCTGACCACAGTGGCATGAAATTAGAAATCAACTACAATAAAAACACTAAAAAACATTTAAACACATGAACGTTGAAAAGCATGTTTTTCAACAATGAATAGGTTACCAACAAGATCAAGAAAGAAATAAAAAACTTCCCGGGAACAAATGAAAATGAACACACAACTCCAAATCTATGGGACACAATGAAAGCAGTCCTGAGAGGGAAGTTCATACCACTACAAGCCTACTTCAAAAAACAAGAAAAACTTCTAATAGAACCTCTAATCCTACAACTTAAAAACTTAGAATGAGAACAACAAGAAAAGCCCAGAGTAAGTGGAAGGAAAAAAATAATAAAAATCACAGCAGAAATAAATGACATAGAGACTAAAAAAGCAATACAAAAGATCAATGAAACCAAGAGCTGGTGCTTTGAAAAGATAAACAAGGTTGATGAACCTTTAGCCAGACTCATGAAGAATCAAAGAGAGAGGACCCAAATAAACAAAATCAGAAATGAAAGAGGTGAAATCACAACTGACCCAACAGAAATGCAAAGGATTGTAAGAAAATACTATGAACAACTATATGCCACCAAGCTGGACAACCTGAAAGAAATGGACAAATTCCTAGAAAAATACAATCTTCCAAAATTCAACCAGGAAGAGTCAAAAAGCCTAAATAGGCCAATAAATGCTGATGAAGTGGAAGCAATAAACAAAGGACTCCCAGCACACAAAAGCCCCGGCCTGGATGGCTTCACAGGGGAATTTTACCAAACATTCAAAGAATTAATACCTATCCTCCTCAAACTATTCCAAAAAATCCAAGAGGGAGGAACACTTCCAAAGTCTTTTAACAAGGCCAGCATTAGCCTAATTCCAAAACCAGATAAAGATACTACAAAGAAAGAGAATGACAGGCCAATATCCCTGATGAACAAAGATGCTAAAATCCTCAACAAAATATTAGCAAATCAGATCCAGCAATATATTTAAAAGATCATACACAATGACCAAGTGGAATTTATTCCAGGGATGCAAGGTTGGTACAATATTCTCAAGTCAACAAACCTGATACATCACATAAACAAACTGAATGACAAAAATCACATGATCATGTCAATAGATGCACAAAAAGCATTTGAAAAAATCCAACACCCATTTTTGACAAAAACTCTCAGCAAAGTGAAAATACGGGGATCATACCTCAACATAATAAAGGCCAAATATGACAAACCTACAGCCAACATCATACTCAATGGGCAAAAACTAAAACCATGTCCCCTAAGAACAGGAACAAGACGGGGATGTCCACTTTCACCACTCTTATTCAAAATAGTACTGGAAATCCTAGCCATAGCAGTCATACAAGAAGAAAACATAATAGGCATACAAATAAGAAAGAAGAAAACAAAACTGTCATTATTTGCAGATGACATGATATTGTACATAGAAAATCCTAAAGACGCCATCAAAAAAACACTAGATTTAATAAATGAATTCAGCAAGGTAGTAGGAAACAAAATTAACACCCAGAAATCGATGACATTTTTATACACCAATAATGAACTCTCAGAAGGAGAAACTAAAAAAAAATCCCATTTACCATTGCAACTAAAAAAATAAGGTACCTAGGAATAAACTTAACCGAAGATATAAAAGACTTTTACTCAGAAAACTACAGGACACTGAAAAAAGAAATAGAGACAATATAAACAAATGGAAAATTATACCATGTTCATGGGTTGGAAGAATTAACATCATTAAAATGTCCATACTACCCAAAGCAAACTATAAATTCAATGCAATCCCCATTAAAATACCAACAGCATATTTCACAGATCTAGAACAAACACTTCGAAAATTTATATGGAACCAAAAGACACCCCAAATAGCCACAGCAACCTTTAGAAAGAATAACAAAGTTGAAAGGATTGCAATACCAGATATCAAGTTATACTACAAAGCCACTGTAATCAAAACAGCCTGGTACTGGCACAAGAACAGCCATATAGATCAGTGGAACACAACAGAGAACCCAGAAATTGACTCATGCCATTATGGTCCATTAATATTAGACAAAGGAGGCAAGAACAATAGAGTAAAGACAGTCTCTTCAATAAATGGTGTTGGAAACATTGAACAGGTACATGCAAAAAAATGAAACTAGACCAACAACTTACATCATACACAAAAATAAATTCAAAATGGATAAAAGACTTAAATGTAAGATATGAAACCATAAAAATCCTAGAGGAAAACATAGGCAGCAAAATCTCAGACATCTCTCGCAGCAATATATTTGCTGATACATCTCCTAAGGCAAGAGAAACTAAGAAGAAAATAAACAAATGGGACTGCATCAAAATAAAAAGCTTCTGCACAGCAAAAGAAACCATCAACAAAATGAAAAAGGAGCCCAGTGTATGGGACAACTTATTTGCCAACAAAACATCTGATAAAGGGTTAATGTCCAAAATATATAAGGAACTTATACAACTTAACAAAAGGAAGACAAACAATCCAATTAAAAAATGTGCAAAGGACCTAAATTGACACTTGTCCAAAGAGGACATACAAATGGCTAAGAGACGTGAAAAAAATGTTCAACGTCGCTAATCATCAGAGAGATGCAAATTAAAACCACAATGATGTATCGCTTCATACCTGTCAGAATGGCTACCATCAACAAATCAACAAATGGTACATGCTGGTGAGGGTGTGGAGAAAGGGGAACACTGGTACACTGCTGGTGGGAATGCAGACTGGTGCAGCCACTATGGAAAGAAGTATGGAGTTTCTTCAAAAGATTAAAAATTGACCTGCCAATTGACCCAGTGATCCCACTTCTAGGAATATATCCTAAGGAACCCGAAACCCCAATCACAAAGAACTTATGCACCCCTATGTTCATAGCAGCACAATTTATAATAGCTCAGATCTGGAAACAGCCCAAGTGCCCATCAGTAGATGAGTGGATAAAAAAGCTGTGGCACATTTCCACCTTGGAATACGATGCAGCTGTAAAAAAGAAGGATGTTTTATCCTTTGGCACAGCATGGAGGGAACTAGAAAGTATTATGCTAAGTGAAATAAGCCAGTCAAAGACAAATACCGTATGATCTCACTTATATGTAGCATATAATAAATAAAATAAGCTGATGAACAAAATGGATCCAGAGACATAGAAGCATAGAACAGACTGAGGGATCTCAGAGGGAGGGTGGGGAGGGGAGAGTGGGTGGGGAGAGATTAATCAAAGAACTTATATGTTTATAAGCACAACCCATGGGCGAAGACATTGGTATGGGAAAAGCCTGTGGGGGGATGCATGAGGGGTGGAGGGGATCAATGGGGATAAAAAGGGGACATCTCTAATATTTTTAACAATACAGATAAAGAAACTTTAAAAATATATATAACTTATGAATTTAGTATACACAATTGGAGTTTGTAGAATAAAATATCAATGTAATAATAATGTTTAATCCAAATTAGAATATAAGACTATTCTTATGTTCTATGATGATTGTATCAGGCTAATTTTGCTGTGTTCCTATTTTGTCTCAAGCTTTTAACTACTTCATAGAACATAAACCTTGCCAAGTATACAGAACCACTGGAGACAGAGAAAGAGATCTATGATACAATGGGGAAATTATCTGTATATCCTCAAATTATTTGGTAATCATCTTTTGATATTACAAATTTTAAAAGGTGAAAGACATAGTATCATATAGAAACAACTTTTGTCTGATTTCCCTTAACCCAAAATACTAAGTAATTTTTAGAATTTCTCATTAAGTATCTCTCATGACCAAGTTAAAGGTAATCCCCACCGCGACCCCAGTGAGGTACAGAAGCAAGCTTATATCAAGTCTTGGAAGTCTTCAGTAACTAAAAAGAAATGATCGTCAACCCACTTCATTATTCCTGGTTATGTAGCCTCCTTCCTTTAATCTCCTCCGAATATCTTTGCGTGAATGGTATGCTCTTAAATGTGGATCATGGAGACTATTATACTGGTTGTCCAAAAGTCGACAATAAGGGTCAGTCAGGTTAAAGCCATATGAAGGTCGAAAAAGCTGCAAACACAGATTTAAAAAGATGACAAATGTAAAATTCATAAATTTCATTTTTAAATATCAACATACTAAAATGGCTAGACTGTTCATTCAAAATAAAGCATGCAAGAAGAACGTGAAGTGGGGAGAACCAGCAACAGAAAGATGGACTGAGTAGTGCTAATTGCTTACTCCTACTTTTCCCCCCACTGACCTGAATTATTCTAAACACCCGCCCTCACTCAGTTCCTCCACTGATCCCCATCAGCCCTGGCCCTGAGCCAGATGAGAAAGGAGGAGAGGAGAGAAAGAGAATAGGGTAAAATTTGTTTTCATGTATAAAGCTAATGCTAAGTTTCTCCATTTCCGTCCTCCCTCTTCCAGATCAAGGCACTGCATTCAAAGTACAAAGAGATCATATGAACTATCACTATTATATCTCAATAATCTGAAAATGAAGAAAATGGAAAATCTTTTTACAAGATGCATGGAAACAAATTTATCCAAAAATAGTAGAAGTAAAACTCAGATGTTAATGATGATGGATTAAAGAGTTATTGCATCTTGGGATCTTATCTAATTCAAGAAACCCAACAATCTTTGAGTGCTACAGTCAGGAAAAAATTCAAGATCTGGTTTATAAAGTTCAATATATTGAAGAACCAGTTATAAAGGATATTGACAGCAATTGAGATTTCTTCATATGTGAAAAGGCCCAATACAACCTTGTGCAATAGCCATTAGCATATAAAAGAAAAATATCAGCTGATAGTCATGTTTCTATATCTGTTACTTTATAGGAAACAGCTCAGTTATTTAATCACATTTGTAAATTAAAACATTACCAAAGTGGGTGGGGTGTTTTTGTTGGTTTCATTTTGTTTTGTTTTTTGGTGTGAGTTCTTAGTCCATTTTTCAATAGCAGGGGGCATTAAGGATGCTTAACATATTCAGGGAGCACTTGGAGGGGAAAAGTGGAGGCCAGAAGTAGGTGTGGACTTTGTCCCAATGTCTTTACATTACTTTTGCTTTCCTTTACGTGTTTTTGGCCAGGAAAACAGAAGTTTTGGTCTAAAGTAATGCCAAAGCAGGAACTGGCCCAAGTGAAAAGCGACTGGAATGTGTGGGAGGCATGGCAAACCTGAGAGCAATGGCCCTGTTTGCAGGCAAGACAATTTACAGCACTCCACAGTCCTGACCTGTCTGCAGGTACCTATTTGAGACCTCTGTGTTGTTCTGTCTGGCAGAAGCCACATTAGTCAAATTCTGAACACTAAGGAGCCTGGCTGGGTGGGATCCTAAAAAGAACTCCCTTAGAGCAGGTACGAGGATGCTTCACATGCGGGCAAAGGGGCAGACTGGTGGAACCTGACAGGACGCTGGCTTTCCTTTTCCATTTAGAGCTTCCTTGGAAAGGTTCTGTTCTCTTGCTAACACCAGACTTAATCCCTCCCAAAGGTCCTAAATCATAAAGTATAATAATTCCTTAATTGACAGTGCTTCCCTGAGAAGGCAAAGAAAGGAATTCTATAGGGCACCGTCTTGAACTCAGTGAAACCAGATATGAAGCAACCAACAACCATAAGTCAAAGATTGGTCTGTTTCTTTTAAATGTTGACATTTAGCTATTGACTTCTGTTAGATATTGACTTTTAGCTATGATGAGATGTTTCTCAAGATCAAACCTGGGCTACTGACCTATAAAAAATAACACCTATAAACAAATCCATTCCTTGGAGCCAGGATAACCCTTTTGTTGTCAATTAAAATAATTGGTTTGTTTCCCTTTAAAAAATAAAAAAACTAAAACTGTAAATATAAAGCATTACTTCATTGAGGAGCTTTTACTGAAAGAAAAGGAAAGCTCTCACAAACTCAGTCTTCAAGGAAATAGTTTGGTGCCTAATTGCAATTAAATGAAGACAGTTTGGGGGGAACCAATGTCATAAAGAGAGAACATCTTTTTAAAAGTAGTTGACAAGGGAATTAATATTTGACAGAAAATGGTAATATAGTAAACAATATACTTGAGGAAGCAGACAAAAGAAAGACAGGGCTAAGTTTAGACACAAAAGAGGAGTGGTATAGGTTCAACCATGCTGTGGGAAAGCTGTTTGTGTGAATGTGACCCAGTTAAATTGTGTGAGGTAGGCATGTTTCATGTTTCTAGTTAGCTTGTTCTATCCTAGTAGAACAGATTTGTTTTTAAAAACAAATATCCAGAAGCAAAACTTGCTTTAAGAAATCATGTTTATTAGGCAGGTATCAAATACCAAGGGGCTCTACTCATTTCTGACATCATAGAGAGTAGAAGGGGAAGGGTGTCTCTCGGAATTCTTTCTTGTAGAATTTTTGCAACATTAATCAAAGAAACCATTCAAAAAGAACGTACCGAACCTCCCTCAGTGTCAGAGTCCAGAGCTGGGGAGGCCTAAGGGTGGGACTAGCGTTGAGGACTGAAAACAAGAAAGGGTTTGAGGGAAGTACACACTAAACCCAGTATGATTTATGTTATAAAACTGCAATTATAGAATTGTAGTGTTGAGTAAAATTATACAAACCAAGGGCAATGCAAATTCTAAGGAAATACAAGCTCTTTGGGGGCTATGATGGTTCAGAAAAACATCTGGAAAGATGGCTGAAATTCACAGGTTGAGGAGAAGAGGAAGGGGTACGCAGGTCTGGGGCACGGTGAATAAAGGCACAGGGGCATTGATGTGGAATGCGTGAGTACGTATAAAAGACCCCAACTGGAGGCAGCNAGGGTACGCAGGTCTGGGGCACAGTGAATAAAGGCACAGGGGCATTGATGTGGAATGCGTGAGTACGTATAAAAGACCCCAACTGGAGGCAGCTGAGGTGCTGGGTTGGAGTAAAGACTGGAAAGGAAGGTTGGGGGAATCATGGAGTCTCTTCAAGAAGACAGAGCTTCTTCCATTAAAGTGAAATTGAAGTACCTGAACATGTTAGCTCATTTTAATTCCATTTTTCCCTCACTGTTGTGTGTGAAATAGAATTTCCCTCAAAACAAAATCAGAGAAGTTTCTATAATGAGAGTTTTATCCAAGTTATTATTGGTCAAAATCATAATATAATTAAATGCCAGCCAGCACCAATAATTTTCCACCTTTGAACCAAGCATATTTAGTTCTAAGTAAATAAAATCTCACTAAATAGGTATATCTTGTGTTATTTTAAAAAGTTAATATGCTTCCAAAACTTGAGAGAAGTAAGACTCAAACCTTTCTAGCCCATGATTCTGTGCAAGTCACACTAGATGAAGTTACTTGGCATGAATCCTAAATAATACCTTGGTTTACATGTGGGTTTGACTTTTTTTTCCTTTGCTTTGAATGTTAATACAAATTCCCTTAATGGACTTTGTATAGTATAGCCTCTGACTTTAACAGCGAGTAGAAATGAGCAAAGACAACCAGTGGCAAAACAAAAATTACCTTTTCATTTAACTTCGTCGTATAGTACAAATTATTGCTCCCGGGGATCACAGGCAGCTTCACTGCAAGAGGCAGATCCAGTAGCTCACACGCTCCAATACCTGGAAAGTGGGTTTTGTGCACGGCCTGCCATGAACAATTGGAGAGTTTTGTCTTTCCTTTTAGGCTTTATTTTTTCAGTTTAGGCCTATTTACCCCTATTTTAACCAAAGGAATTGAAGAGTCATAGAGTCAGGGTTGAAGGGGCCCACCCTGCCAGACAGCCCTGAAGCCTTCCCAGTCCCTCACCAGCCAGTTGTGGCTACCAGCTGCACTGCAGGAGGGCAACCCAAGCACAACAGTTACAACCTCAGGACCTGTCTGTGGCTCTCCCTGCCCTGTCCCACGGAAAGACAAGGACACCCGGCTTCCGGCCACTCACATCTCCGCACTGCTGGATTTCTTTAGTCAGGCTGCTAATGGCCTTCCTGGTGGCGGCATCACTGGTAGCTTTGGAGCAGGTGCTAAGGTAATGCTCCATTGTAGCCTGGGCCCCTCCCCTCCTTACCCCTTGTCCGGACCTCACATGGAATGGCCAGTACCCCCTTATCCCCAAGGCCCCACTGTCTCAAGAGTTCCAGGTCAGAATGTGGGGGCCCCAAAGGGCAGAGCCCTCAGAGGGCTGGCCCCTCTTGATTGAGGCTTGAGTGCCCAGAGTTGGGGAAATCAGTCCCAGGAGCCTGGTCTAAGAGGCCCANAGCCTGGGAAATCAGTCCCAGGAGCCTGGTCTAAGAGGCCCACAATTGTGTGGAANGTTGGGGAAATCAGTCCCAGGAGCCTGGTCTAAGAGGCCCACAATTGTGTGGAAATGTAACTCCTCTGAAACCAACGCCACATGAACAGGCAAACCAAACTCAAAGTCACAACATACAAAGCTTTGTTGGCACATAGCTGGCTAATTTCTTCTGGCCTCCAAGGAGCTATGGTTCCAGAAAAAAAAGCCAAGAGTGATTGTATCACCATTCTAGGGCCAGAGGCCTGGCTTTCCACCTGTCCTCTCCTAGACACTATGACCACACCCTACCCCAGGTTCCCACAACCTCTTCCCACTCCCGATCTGAATATTACTTTTGGTCAGTCTATCGCATCCAGTTAGTCCCTGAATGCTACCTTTAATCCTTCCTGAGCCTTTGCTGTCCACTATCACCAGGTAGCAGTTCAGGCTCTCTTCCTTTAAGTTCTCAATTTATAATCAAAAAGTTTAAAAATTAAAAGCTAAAATAATTTAACATTCAAAGGGATCAACAAAACATATTCATGTTATCAAACAAGACAGGCAACATTTAAGAGTTAACCAATGTTTTCTACACTGCTTTGCTCCATAACAATTCCTGCTTTCAGCTCCAGAGTTCAGGCCCTTCCTGCCCTGCTCAGCTAATTCCTCCAAAGGCTGTGTCTACCAAGCATGCATAACTCCTTTCCTGGGGTTATTTCAGTAAGATTAAGTGGTTAGTTGCTAATATTGTAAAGATTTTAATTATCTGATATACCTACATGCTTTCCATTTTTTTTATGGTACTGGTATACCATAAAATCAGTGAATGTTAACTTCTAATCAAAGCTGGATCTGAAATTCTTTTCCAGGATAATGTCCTAGTAGGGACATTCAATTTGATTGTTCTAATTCACAGCACCTACCTTCCCAACCACTCCCCCAAATGAGAAGTATCTGCATTTATTTATTCAACAAATGTATAGGATTGCTTTCCTTTTCCTCAATTTTCAGCCTTCCTCCTCTCTCCTCTCCCGCCTAAAAACAGTCATAATGGAAAAAACCTTGGTAAAATGAAGTCAAGCAGGCATGGTTTTGAATCCTAACTGTGTGATGCAAGTTCATTTTTCTCTGTGTCTAAAATTTTGTCCCCTATAAAATAGGAAAAATAATGCCATCCTTTCAAGAAAATTTCTGTGAAGATATGTGTAAAGAACATACCTCACTGGCTGGTGTGACTCAGTGGTTGAGCATGGACCTATGAACCAGGAGGTCATAGCTTGATTCCCAGTCAGGGCACATGCCAGGTTGTGGGCTCAGTCCCCAGTAGGGGGCGTGCAGGAGGAAGCTGATCAATCACTCTCATCACTGAGGTCTCTCTCTCTCTCTCTCTCTCTCTCTCCCTCTCTCTGAAATCAATAAAAACATATTTTTTTAAAAAGAACATACCTCATTGCTTGATAGATAGCAGGTCCTCAATAAACAGTAACTATTCAGTTTTAAAGCATACAATATTTCTCCCAAATAGCTAACATCTAGTACTTCAGTTTTCACCAGTCACATTTTAGAAATTGTTATGCATAAAATAATATGTACTTTATTTTTTACTTTTAATCACATTTTGACAATTATACGTAAAATAAAATTAAGTGATCTTAAAACCCAAGTTTGATCACCTTTCTTCTCTGCCTAATCTTTCAAAAGCTCCTCACTACAGCTAATATAAATTCCGAATTCATTACCATGGCATTCAAAAAGGTGACAGGATCTGGTTCCTGCCTCTCTACAACCTAATCTCATGTCACATTCCCTCTAACTCAATAGGCTCTGGCCACACTGCTCAGTGTCCTCAGCAAGCATGTTCCTTCCCACATCAAAGTCTTTGTATTTACTGTCCCCTCCACCTGAACACTCGCTCCACACCCGCTCTCCTGTCACATAGCTCACTTCTTCTCACCCTTCATGTTTCCTCCCTGCTGTCATTTCCACAGAAGCCTTCTCTGACAACCATCTCTGAAAAGGTCCTAGTCTCCTCTTCTGCCCTTTATGTGCTCTTCTCAGCAATTCACTTTCTGTTTCTTTTTAAGGCCTATCTTCCCCACTGGAAGGCTAGACTACAGGAGACTTAAAATGACCCAGGTTTGACATCAAAACTACAACTAAACTACAGAACCATCATTCAAAATCACCTGAAATCAAGCTAAATGGAAGTCCTACAACTAATAAATTAAAGAAGAAGCCACATCAAGACTGATAGGAAGGGCAGAGGCAGAGAACCCGCTAGTCCCACACCCATGTGTAGTGGTTTAAAATGAGGAGGGAGAAGGAGGAACAAGTAGGCAGCATAGGTAACCCATGTACCCGCCACCTCCCACACCCACATCAAAGTTACAACTAAAATACAGAACAACCATCACTCAGAACCTCCTGAAATCTAGCTGAACACAAGCCCTACAACCAGGGAACTGAAGAAGCACCAAGACCGGTAGAAGGGGTGGAGACGTGGACGGATTGGGGCTGAATCACAAGACTTGGCTGTGGTGGAGGGTGGGAAGACATTAACCAAAGAAGTTATATGCATATTTGCATAACTCGTGGACACAGACAATAACGGGATGAGGGCCTGGGGAGGGGGTGGGAGCAAGGTGGAGGGGGTCAAGTGGGGGGAAAAATGGGATACCTGTAATACTTCCAACAATAAAGATAAATTTTTAAAAATCAGAAAGAAAGAAAAACGAGGAGGGATACCTTGGCTGTGGAGGTCATTCTGTGGAATGAGGTGTCCCAGTCCCACACCTGGCTTTCCCAGCCCAGGGTTCCAGTCCCAGGAACAGAAGGTCCCTTAAATTCTGACTGTAAAAACCAATGGGAATTGAGGCTGAAGGAGGCTGAGGCTGCTGGAGTCCCAGGCAGTTTTTTGTTTTTTTTTTAATGTATCTTTACTATTGAAAGTATCCATGGGTTATGCATATATGCATATAACTTCTTTGGTTAATCTCTGCCTGCCTTCCACCCCCTTCCCTCTTTCCTCTGAGATACGACCATCTGTTGCATGCTTTAATGTCTCTGGGTCAATTTAGTTTGTCAGATTCTTTTGTTCATTAGCTTCTTCTTAAAGAAGACCCTTCAACATTTCATGTAGTACTGGTCTGGTGGTGATGAACTCCTTTAGCTTTTTCTTATCTGGGAAGCTCTTTATCTGACCTTCATTTCTAAATGGTAGCTTTTCTGGGTACAGTAATCTTCATTGTAGGTTCTTGCTTTTCATCACTTTGAATATTTCTTGCCACTCCCTTCTGGCCTGCAAAGTTTCTGTTGAGAAATCAGCTGATAGTCATATGGGTGCTCCCTTGTAGGTAAATAATTGCTTTTCTCTTGCTGCTTTAAGATTCTCTCTTTGTCTTTAACCTTTGGCATTTTAATTATGATGTGTTTGCTGTGAGCCCCTTTGGGTTCCTCTTGTTTGGGATTCTCTGTGCTTCCTGGACTTGTAAGTCTATTTCTTTCCCCAGGTAGGGGAAGTTTTCTGTCATTTTTTCAAATAGGTTTTCAATTTCTTGCTCTCTTGCCTCTCCTCTGGCACCCCAATAATACAAATGTTGGGCTGCTTGAAGTTGTCCCAGAGGCTCCTTACACTATCTTCATATTTCTGGATTCTTTTTTCTTTTTGCTCTTCTGATTGGGTGTTTTTGTTTCCTCATATTCCAGATTGCTGATTTGATTCTCAGTGTCCTCTACTGTTGATTCCCTGTAAATTATTCTTCATTTCAGTTGGTGTAGCCTTTATTTCAAATTGGTACTTTATTATGTCATCGATGGTCTCACTTGTTTTCTTAATAGTCTTACTAATATCCATGAGCATCCTTATAACTATAATTCTGAACTCTGTATCTAATAGCTTGCTTGGTTCTATTTCATTTAGTTCCTTTTCTGGAGATGTTTTCTTTTCTTTCCTTTGTGACATGCTTCTTTGCCTCCACATTTTGGCTGCTTCCAGGCATTTGTTTCTATATATTAAGTAGAGCTGCTATGTCTTCTGGAATTTGTAGCGTGGCTTTGTGTAGTAGATGTCCTCTAGGGTCCAGTGGCTCAGCCTCCCCAGTCACCTGAGTTGGGCCTTCTAGATGTTCCCTTGTGTGGGCTGTGTGCTCTGACCTGTTGTAGTTGAGCCTTGGTTGCTGTTGGCATCACTGGGAGGAATTGGCCTCAGGACAATCAGCTGTGATGACCAGCTGCAACTACGGCAAGAGAGCTGCTGTGCTGGAGACACCCTTATGGAGCAGGATTTATTTCAGTGAAGCTTTGGTGTTCACCAAGTGCGCCCTTTGAGTATGTCACTCGTGGATGTGGTAGGGTTGTAATCCAGCATGGTTGAGTCTGACCACCAGGTGCACTGTCTCTGGGGCCTCCCACTATGTGCAGTCAGTCTCTGCCAGTCCCTTGCCCAGGGCCACCCAGCATGAGCTACACAGCAAACCGTAGTTGGCTGCTACTTGTGCTGGGCTAGGAGGTATCCAAGAGAGGCCAAGCTATGAACCAACTAGTAGCAGGCTGCCACTAGTGCCAGGCCTGGGGCTACTTATGAAGACCTATGGGGCATGCTGCTGCTTGTTTGAGAGATTTTAGGAAAGTCCTAAGCATGAGGCTTGAGAGGCCACTTGCATAGAAAAGCCACTGGAAATGGCTTGGATGAGCTTCCAGGTAGGGAGAGACGGGGTCTCCAGGAATCACCAGGGTGGGGCCAAAGGTGTGAGTCAGGTGCTGGAGAT